GTTTTAATGATTGACAAATGATGACATATTTGTGTTTTTTTTTTTAAAGAAAAATAAAAAAGTTCTGAAAAAAAAAAAAAGAACTGGGGCAATAAAGGTCATAAAATGGAGCAAAACTCAACAAATGTTCATTTAACAACAGAAATTTTTGGACCCCATTGTGGTCATAAGTCATATTATATCTCCATTCCTACGGATTGAACAATGTATTCATAGTTTATCATTATCCACAAGAGCTACTACTTCCTTATAATGAAGAACCATTTTCACATTGTTTGACATTTTAACAATCCGCAACCACCTTTGCTATCATGGCTAATGTCAGACTTTTCATTGGTGGTAAATTGTGACTCTACAGAAACTCAACTTTGCAGCTAGTTAGTACCCAGAGAAGAAACTTCATAGCCACAACATGGCTAGATAAGTTGCTTTGTTGCATATAAGGAAAAAAAAAGTCATAGCTACTTCACAACAGAAGACTCAAATCTTATATTAATATGTCAGCTCAAATTTTAAATCTTAGGCCTTTTTCTTCCTATACTTTGAGTTAATAGATTCTTGGTTGTTCTTTTCCTGATCTTAAGTATTAGAGACATTTAATCCATATTTAGGCAAATATTGTGTTAGATTGGATATTACTGGTCTGTGCCTTATTAATTTTATCCCTTATAGATGGACAGAATATTAGTCTAAAAAAAGAAATGCAAGCATCATTGGGGCAATTATTTATATACTTTTTTTTTTGTTGACAGGATAATGTCATTTTTGAAAGGTTATCCAAGGACTCAAAGTACATGGAGCAAACTCTATGCCACCTTGATTATTTTGCCACAGAAGGTAAATACTTTGTTTACTTAATTATTTATTTGTAGCACTCTAAGTATTTGCTTATTGATTTATTATTGCTCTTCTCAAGTATCAATGTGGGATATTCTGTAGCTAAACAAATTCTATTTCAGAAAATATGAAATGGGAAAGTTTGGGAAATTTCAGAGTTAAAAATAAGCATATGTTATCCAGTCCTACTTTTCTAAGATGTAACTGAGATATCCTTATTAGAAAACATAAATTTATCAAACTTAGGTTTCCCCATCTCTCATTCATTCATTCATTCATTCATTCATTCATTCATTCATTCATTCAGCTTTTGAATCAATTTGACGTATTAAACACATACCCTAAATTTCTATATATTTCTATGCCGGTTCAGTGGCTTAAGATGCTGAGCTTGCCAATCAGAAAGCCAGCATTTCAGAGGTTTGAATCCCTAGTACTGTGTAACAGCGTGAGCTCCCGTTACTTGTCCCAGCTTCTGCCAACCTAGCAGTTAGAAAGCATGTTAAAATGCAAGTAGAAAAATAGGGACCACCTTTGGTGGGAAGATAACAGTGTTCCGCGCCCCTTTGGCATTTAATCATATCGGTCACATGACCACAGAGACATCTTTGGACAGCGCTGCTCTTTGGCTTTGAAATGGAGATGAGCACCGCCCCCTAGAGTTGGGAACAACTAGCACATATGTGCGAGGGGAACCTTTACCTTTTATCTATGCTGGTTTTCCCACTATGCATACTTTTGTGTGCAATTTTCCTAATATTATACACATTTACGTATTTTAATCTGGTTTATATAAATATGAAGTTCATTTTATATTCACAAAGTACATATATTGATGTGACCCTTTTCCTGATATGTCCATATTTAACTAGAGAACTACATCTTAAAATTCTTCAAATTGCAAATATCAAAATATTTGCGCATCAGTTGGCACATTGATTCAGAAAATGCAAAGGCAAGAAATGCATAGAGACAGAGTGACCAAGCCTGCTTTCCATCCTTACAATCATAAGCCTTGAATTCATCTATTGTCTTTGCTACTCCAGATTTCATAAAGTTGCAAAATTAGTGTGACTGAAAAATATAATAGGGAGACAAAAGAAACAATACGTTGAAGAAAGTTTATAGTTACTCATTACATTTGCAGCCCTTTAAAAACTAGTGTTCGCGTCTAGGCAAAAGATATTTTGAAATGCAGCTTAGCTCATTCCTACATATATTATTCAAGCCAACCTTATTGAAGATGGACTTTGCCTGGACTGAGACTTTATTTCAAATGTGAAAAAGAAAAGATTATTGGACAGAAGCAATGCAATAGATATGATGTGTCTCAAGCCATTAAGTCTCCACAGATGTTAACTCTCATAAACCTTGGAGGCCAGAAAGGCTGAAATTGATAATGAGGCTGATGGATGAAGAAATGGTCCGTGTAATGCTCATTTTATAAATGTTTAAACACTTTTTTTAGAGCAAACTACATCAATGCAGCCCATGTTTTCCCTGGATCTCTGTGGCTACTGCAATGAGTTTTGTTAGGTGGTATCAATCTTTTATATCAATCTCTTATTGATCTGAGTGCTCTCTTATATAGTAAATGTTTAATGGCACTGCACCATAGGAAGATCCTTGTTTTTCCTTGCACCTGAAAATTTTATTTTTCTTAGTTTTAGGAACACTTACACGCTCATAATATCGCCTTTCTGTTTAATATGGCAACTTTCCCCATTTTTTAATACTCCATGGGCAATAGAAGACAAATAAATTACACTAATGTCGGTGAAGACAGACTGTGGCCCTGTAAAAATCATGCTTTCCATATTCCAAAAGGAAGGAGCTGTTCTCCAGATTATTGTGGCTAAGTCATTTACTTTGAAATCAAGGCAAATATAGCATGGGATGATTTTAAAAAAATTGAGGGTTAACACTACTAGTAAGAGAAACCGGGAAACTACTGTATATATTTATCTCACACCAGGATACGCTGCCTTACAGTTTCCTTTTACGAAAGCAATAACAATACCATTTCATAGTGCTTTCCAGCCCTCCCTAAGTGGCTTACAGAGTCAACATCTTGCCCTCGACAATCGGGATACTCATTTTACCCACCTCAGAAGGTTGCGAGGATGAGTCAACCTTGAGCTGATGAGATTTGAACTGCCAAACTGCAGCTAGCAGTCAGCTGAAGTAGCCTGCAGTACCTAGAACCCAGTTTTGAAGTCCCAATGGCTGCCGCCTGCCCCATGGCCATGTAACCACATTTTGACTGCTTGGCAATCAGCCCACATTTGCCGTGCCCCACAGTCACATGACCACAATTTATAACGGTTTTGCCAGAAACCAGCATTTATTTCCAGTTTTTTTAGCATTTATTTCACAAAATAGTCCCTAGCGAACAATGGGGTTGCTTAACAACCATGGCATTCACATTTCAAAAAACAAAACGGCATTGTATAGTGACAAATATTATGCTGTGCCCAAATCTGCTTTGTATGTTCTTTCCTCACACAGATAGCCCTTATTTAGCAACTGCCTGGTTATTGACCATTCACAGAAACAGGAGATGAAGAAAGCACCCTGCTCTTCTGTTTACAACCCTAGCACAGGGGTGTCAAACTCAAAGCCCATGGGCCGATCCGGCCCATGGGGTGCTTAGATCTGACCCACAGGGCCACCCTGGAAACAGCAAAGGACCGGCCCGCAGTGCCTTTGCAAGCGAAAACTGAGCTCTGTTTTCGCTAGCAGAGTGCTCGGGCCACCATAGGCGCCCCTGACACAAGTGTGGTTGAGCTGGCCATGCCCATCCAGACCCCCCAGGTCAAACACAACCCTGATGTGAAATTAAATTTGACACTCCTGCCTTAGCATGTTGGTAAAGCAAAGTCAAAGTAAGGTCATAAGCGCTGTTGTGGTTTCACTTAGTGAAACTTAACAACTGAATTGTCAGCCCCAATGGTGATTGTTAAACAAGGACTTCTGTGCAGGAGGGCAGTTTGGAGTTTTCAGGTACATAAAATTTGTTCATTTACTCAATAATTGTTTTTCTGCCTAAAGTTTATGCCAAATTCCTAACATCTCCAGATGTTTGGGTTGACTGTCTGTACTTCCTTTTATAGGTTTGAGGACTTTGTGCATCGCATATGCCGACTTATCAGAAAACTCTTACCGGGAGTGGCTGGACGTATATAACGAAGCCAGCACGAATTTGAAGGACAGATCTCAAAAGTTGGAAGAGTGTTATGAGATAATTGAGAAGGTTAATAAACATAATTTTGCTTCTTTTAATTTGTACTCCCTCCTTTATTCAGATGTTGCACAATTATGCCCGGGAGAAAGAGTTAAAAATGGGGTACTATTCCAATCCAAGTTTTACACAGCTAAGGTTATTATATTTGCTTGGAGAAAGAGTACCTTCAAAATGCTGTTTGTTAGGAGCCACTTGACTATCATCCAGGGATGAAATGCTACCTGTTTGGGTCAGTTCGCCCGAACCAGTAGTAAAAAATGCTACCGCCTGAACCAGTAGTAAAAAAATGCTTTAAAAAGTAAAAAAAAAAGTTCTGACGATTGTGCAGCCACATCTGTCAGTTGTGCAGTCACGCCCACCCAGTCACATGACCACCTAGCCACACCTACCAAGCCATGCCCACAGAACCAGTAGGGAATTTTTTTAAATTTCCCTACTGCTATTATCCATTTAAATCAGTTGCTAGTTACTGCATACTTAGCTTGGACTTTGCTTGTGTCATAGGAGCCTTGGATTGTAGCTTGGACTTTGCTTGTGTCATAAGAGCCTTGGATAGTAGCTTGGACTCTGTTTGTATCATAAGAGCCTTGGATAGTAGCTTGGACTTTACTTGCGTCATAGGAGCCTTGGATTGTAGCTTGGACTTTGCTTGTGTCATAGGAGCCTTGAATTGTAGCTTGAACTTTGCTTGTGTCATAAGAGCCTTGGATAGTAGCTTGGACTTTGTTTGTATCATAAGAGCCTTGGATAGTAGCTTGGACTTTACTTGCGTCATAGGAGCCTTGGATTGTAGCTTGGACTTTGCTTGTGTCATAAGAGCCTTGGATAGTAGCTTGGACTTTGCTTGCGTCATAGGAGCCTTGAATTGTAGCTTGAACTTTGCTTGTGTCATAAGAGCCTTGGATAGTAGCTTGGACTTTGTTTGTATCATAAGAGCCTTGGATAGTAGCTTGGACTTTGTTTGTATCATAAGAGCCTTGGATAGTAGC